GTCTCTGGGTGGTACTGGTTAATGTGCTTGGCTGCTAATGGAAAGGTTGGAGATTTGAGACCACCCAGAGGCAAATCAGAAGAAAGATCTGGTGATATACTTCCAAAAAATAAGCTCTGTGGTCTGGAGCAATGAAGAGTGATGAAAATCTAAGATACATGGAACAATTAGGCCAAAGGACTAATGGCTCACACAAACTTCAGTCTCCATGACCCTGAGACCAGAAGAACTAAATGTTGTCCAGCTACCACTATCAACTGCTTTGAAGGGATCACATTAGAAGGTCCTAGATAGAGTAGAGGGAGCTCTGGTAGCATAGTGCCTCAGGCACTTGACTGCTAACCAGAAGGCTGGTGGTTCAAACCCACCAGCCACTCCTCAGAAGGAAGGTTGGGCAATCTACTTCCATAGTGATACTGCCTTGGCAACCCAACAAGGGGTTGCTATGAGTCAGGTCCAACTCGACAGCACATAACAACAACAGATAGAATAGAAGAAAAATGTGAAACAAAATTCAAAATCTTGAAAAATACAGACTTACTGGTTGGATAGAGACTGGTGGAACCTCAACACTATGGCCCTTAGTCACCTTTTGGACCTGGAACTGAACTCACTCCTTTGGCTCAGTTTTCAGCCAAACAATAGACAGGTCTACAAGGTCAACAAAAACACTAGGGAGGTATGCACTGCTTAGAACTGTCAACCATTCAAAATGAGAAGGGCAGCATTTGCCCAAGGACAAAGTTCAGAAAGTGAGAAGGGTTAGGAAAGAAGGAGAAATGGAGGTGAGAAATGCAGGGAGGAAGTGAAAGAAGTGATGTTATATTGAGGGGATTGCAATCAATGATAAAATGTGTATGAATTGTTGAATGGAAAACTGATTCTTCTGTATGCGTTCACCCAAATCACAATAAAAACTTAAAATTTTTTTTTTTTTTAAAGAAAATTCTATGAAACTCATTTCTATTGATACACAGTGGGGTCATTATAATTTAGAATCAACTTGCCGGCAACTGTTTCTGTTGTTGTTGTTGTTGTAGAGACAGGTAGAGAAAAGCAGTACCTCAGAAAGGACAGTTCCCAGACTAGGTTCGCCCTATTGGTAGTTTGCCGATGAACTACCAAATTCAGACTTAAGCTATGCTCACTCAGCTTGTCTTCCTAAGAGTTGTCCAGTCCAAACCTGAGTGGTTTCTCCTCATCATGTCATTTCCTTCCCTGCCACAGGGCTCTGGCTATTTGAAATGCAGGGGGGGAAAAATCAATATGTTCCCAAATTGTCAGTCAACTATGAGTTTTTATGTCTATAAAATCACACCCTTCATGCCATCATGCAGAGCCCTTCTCCCTCCTCTTGTCCAAGATGGCAACCATGCTTTGGTTCCCACACAGATGGCGCGCTCTACCTTGTTTTACAAATCACAAGCAAATGTTCGTTTTCCATGCACATAGCAGAACCTACAGGGAATGAGATGACACATTCACACAAGCATCCGCCTCCCCCACCGTAATCCCTCTCCCTGGGATATTTTCTCACACACAGAGCAGTGTCACTAGCTTCCTAACTAAAATACGACTTCTACGTGTTACTAATTTTGGTCCCTCAAATAACTGCCAGGATCTCTCTCTTTACTCCTCACATCTGCAGCTTTTCAATTCCTCCTTTTAGAGCCCTTAGACAATGGAGAGAACTACTGTAGCTCCCTTTTAGTGCCTTTTGTTTTCATTCACTGCTTGGCAGCAGGTGAAGAAAACACAGTAAGTGACTGATGAAAACACTGTTTCTCAGATACCCTAGGCGATGTTACTTCCTTTTCTCTTTCATTTACATAAAGATGTTTTCAAGATCAGAGAGTGTTTCCCAGTCCCTACCCTTTGAGCAAATCCATACACTGAAATTCCCATCAATAGAAATATAAACATATAAAATATAAATGATAGAAGTTGCCATATATGAGGAGTCCTTGGGTGGTGCAAATGGTCAGCATGTTGGCTGCTAACCAAAAAGGTTGGAAGTTCTAGTCCACTCAGAGGCACCTTGGAAGAAAGGGCTGGTGGTCTACTTCTGAAAAGTCAGCATTAAAACCCTATGTAGCACAGTTCTACTCTGACACATGTGGGGTCACCATAAGTTGGAATCAGCTCGATGACTACCGGTTGGGCTGGGTTGACCAAATATGAAGAACGAGCTCTGTTCTGTGCCAGGTCATTCTTGCTCATTATCTCTAATTTTCACAACCGTTGTTGTTGTTGTTGTTGTTGTTGTTGTTTGCCGTCGAGTCGGCCCCGACTCATAGTGACCCCTCCTTGGGTTTCCGAGGCAGTATCACTACGGAAGTAGGATTGCCCAACCTTCCTTCCGAGGAGTGGCTGGTGGGTTTGAACCGCCAGCCTTCTGGTGAGCAGTCAAGTGCCTTAGGCACTATGCTACCAGAGCTCTTTCACAACCATGCTAGGTGTATATGTCATTTTTATGTTGTAAATGATGACACTTAGGCTCAGGGAGGGTAAACAACTTGCTCAGTATCGCAAGCTACTAAATGGCAGAACTGAGACTGAATCCCAATCCTTCCAAAGCTTACACTCTCTCCTCTTCAGTCTGAAGCTATGTGAAAAATTCTGGTCCATCATAGTGTCTGGTTATTGCTGCTTGGTTTATCTCAAGGTCTCTATCTTACTTACCTAGTGCTGCCATAACAGAAATTCCACAAGTGGGTGGTTTTAAAGAACAGAATTTTATTTCTTACAATTCAGGAGGCCAGAAGTCAGGACATGGCTCTAGAGGAAGGCCCTTCCTTGCCTATTTCAGCTTCTAGTACTTGCCAGCAATCCTTGGCATTCCTGGGCTCGAAGTTGCTTCCATCTCTGCTGTCAGCCTTCCTCTTCCCCTTGTATATTGTCTGTGTCTATTCTGTTTTTTATAACTCAGAAGTGATTGGGTTTAGGACTTACCCTACTTTCGCATGGCACCTCATTAACATAACAAAAGAAAACTCCTATTTCCAAACAGAGTCATATTTATAGGCACAAGGCTTAAGACTTCAACACATATTTTTAGGGAACATAACAGTCTCTAGGATGGAGACCACCATTGTTCCAAAAGCTTACTACTGGCCACCAGAAAAGCCATTCACCCAGAGCCCTACTGAGAGCCCCCAACAAAGTCTAGGCAATGAAGAGGGCAGCATAGCAGAGTGGTGAAGAGCACAGCCTTGAGCATCTCAATGCTTGTCTCCAGTCTTCAACTCTGTGAACTTGGACCTAACCTTGCCTTAGGATCTCTACCTATAAAATAGGGATAAAAGTCCCCACCTTGTAGGGTTGTGGGGAGTTATGTTAAGGAAGAACTTTGCATAATACCGTGTGCATTAATGAGGACTAACATCATCAGCTGTGGTAGCTGAAGACCAAGCAAGAGTCTTCAGGGAGCACATTTTATAAATGGTGAAGTGCTCTTACACCTGGTGTCCGTGCTTCTTACTTTTCCTAGGTCTGTCTGTCCAACAGGTCCAGACGTGCAGCACCACCCATCTCAGGCCAATAAGCCATTGCCATGTCTCCAAGGATCTCCTTCTGGACTCCACTCAGAAAACCAAACTCACTACCATCAAGTCGATTCCAAATCATAGTGACCCCATAGGGTTTCCAAGGCTGTAAATCTTCATAGAAGCCGGTGGCCTTATCTGTCTTGCATGTAGTAGCTGGTAGGTTCAAACCACCAATCTTTTGCTTAGCAGCCAAATGCCTTAACCACTTTACCACCAGAGCTCCTTCTGGGCTTCACAGCCACAGGTTTATCATCAAAGAGACATTTCCTAACAGCTCATTTGGGAGTGTGGCTATGCATGGCAGCTGAAGAGAAAAAAATCTACCAAGGGGTAGAGCTGTAGTTAATGACCTCTTGACTTCAGCTAGCAAATCAAAGAAATAATAGCACAAGACAGCCAAACCACATGCTTATCTCCTTTAAGCATATGAGTTGGCTGTAAAGCATTTTAATAGAGGGCTGGCCCCAAACCACAAGGCACCAACAAGGTTTGGATTAACCTATCCGCTAGCAACTTGGAAGCACAAGACCCCAGTCATGAATAATAACAGCTAACAAGCATGTGCCCAGAACTATTCTGAGTACTTCTTGTATTTACAAATTCCTTTCTTGTATACAAGGAAAAAAATGTGGTATAGCTTATTCAATCTTGACAACCATAAAGTACTGTCATCATCAACGTTGTGCAAATCAGTAAACTGAGGCAAAAGAGTTCAAATCACTGGCCTAAGGTCACACAGATAGAAGTGGGCAGAACCACAATGTCAGCCCAGGCTGCCGGGCTCTTTGCCTACATACGGTACCACCCCTTATGAACGGTGAACCTGATTTAAGACAGGGAGTGGGGAGTTGAATGGAATCTCAGATTTGCTGCTTTTTTGGGGGGTGTGGAAAGGAGTTGTTGATAACCGCCATCAAGTTTTTCCCAACTCATGGTGACCCCATGCAAAATGGAATGAAATGCTACCTGGTCCAACCGGCTAGTGACTGTACATGAAGTGCATTGACTTGGAATAAAACCTGGGTCTCTCTCACAGAAGGCAAGAATTCTGTCACTGGACTACCAATGACTCTTGGGAGGAGTACGTCTATTAACAATACCTCCTTGAATGAGAAATCTGATTCTGTTTCCTTGTGCCTTTGTTAGTATACCTTGGCAGCTCTGCTAAATCTGTTCACTCCAGCCTACATTTCTGAGGATGACTGGCTTCTCACTGTTTTGTTTAGACTGATGCAGCACAGGGTAGACAAGAAAGTTAAGGAGGAAACAGATTAGTCTTTGACTTTGGGAGAAGCAGAAATGGTGACATGGAATGATGGGCTTTCTTCCCTAACACTGGTCTTGCACACCCCAGGCCATTTCCTGACCCCTCTGCCTCCATGTGCACCTGCCTCAAGTTTCAGCCAAATCCCATCCCACACACGCACTAAGCTCTGCTTTTTCCCTATGCAGGTAACCTGGACATCACACCGGACGACCCTCGCTGGATCGGAGCCTGGTGGGGTGGCTTTCTGCTCTGCGGTGCCTTACTCTTCTTCTCCTCCCTCTTGATGTTCGGGTTTCCACAGTCCCTGCCCCCGCACTCAGACCCTGCCATGGAGAGTGAGCAGGCCATGCTCCCTGAAAGAGAATACGAGAGACCCAAGCCCAGCAATGGGGTCTTGAGGCACCCCCTGGAGCTGGACAGCAGTGCCTCCTGCTTCCAACAGCTAAGAGGTAAAGGCAGCCTCACTCCCTGGGGACTGAAATAATGTAGGGGGAAGGGCAGGGAGTTGGGGAAGGGGTGGTAATCAGGCCTGGCTTCTAGGCAACTTGTTGATATTAGCTGCCATCAAGTTAGCCCCCAACTCATGGTGATCCCTTGTACATTAATTTGTGTTTTGCATGACGTGCCTCTTCCTGTGCTTGACTTATTCCAAGAAATAAATTACCTGCTTTGCTTAATAAAAATAGAAGTTAAGTAGCTACCATTTACTGAAGGAACAGCAAGCTTCCCTTCTCCCCTGCAGAGGCCCTAGTGGCTCACGTGTTGCTGTTATGTGCTGTTGAGTCGGATCTGACTCATAGCGGCCCCTCCATGGGTTTCTGAGGTATCACTACGGAAGTACATTGCCTAAACTTCCTTCCGAGGAGTGGCTGGTGGGTTTGAACCACCAGCCTTCTGGTTAGCAGTCAAGTGCCTTAGGCTCTATGCTACCAGAGCTCCTAAGGCCCTAACATCTAATAAATATCAATGTCTATGGAAAGAAGAAAACAAAAAGAGGGAAGGAGAAAGTTAGATAGTCCACGGACCTCTATTTAAATCTTTTCAGGCAATGTGTACAGCACATTGAAGCAGGAAAGGACTTTTGAAGTCACCTTTCTCTGTCTGATATAGAAAATCAAAACCAAACTCACTGCTGTCAAGTTGATTCCAAATCATAGCAACCCCCATTGGGTTTCTGAGGTGGTAAATCTTTATGGAAGTAGATTGCCCCATCTTCCTTCCATGGAGTAGCTGGTGGGTTTGAACTGCCAGCCTTCTGATTAGCAATCAAATGCCTTAGGCACATTGTTGTTGTTGTTAAGTGCCGTCGAGTCGTTTCCGACTCATAGCGACCCCATGCACAGCAGAACGAAACACTGCCCGATCCCGCAGCAGCCCCACAGTCCCTGCTATACTTGAGCCCATCATCGCAGCCATCGTGTCAATTCATCTTGTTGAAGGCCTCCCCCTCTTTCGTCCACCCTCCACCCTACCAAGCATGACATCCTTCTCCAGGGAATGGTCCCTTTGGTCCCTTCTTACAACATGACCAAAATAGGTGAGATGAAGTCTGGCCATTCTTGCTTCCAAGGAGCATTCTGGCTGCACTTCCTCCAGGACA